TTCTTAAATTGGATGTGTGTGTGTGTCAAATAGAACATTCTATAATGATGTTAAGAAAAGGCCATAACATAAAATGAAATATTCACTCCCTCACATAAAAATATTCCAGTTTCTAAAATGCATTTGTCCCCAATTTTTAGTTTTTCATGTTCTATAATGATTTTACTTTATTCAAAATATAGAAGTTTGCTGTATAATTGATGTACTTTTGAACAAGAACTCCACATTTGTACTCTTACATTTGCAGACCTGTTTGTTCTCATTCTTGTTCTTTATCTTACATTTTGATGTACACCTAATTGTTATTGTGGACACACTATGACACTACATATGTCACGCCAAGCGCAATCATTTGGAGACAAATTCTATGCATGCCCGAAATTACGCAATTTACCCACTGGAGAGTATGTATCGGATTGTTCGTTCTTTTAGTGGCTACATGACAAACGTGAAAAGACTAAGGACACTGCCACCATGAGTAGCAATGAGACTGCCAAGGAGTTTCAAGGCCTTATCATGAACTTACAAAGAGAAGTAATAGATGCCAACGTTCGTGAAAGAGAGGTACTGTCCAAGAATGCAACATTGGAGTCAAGAATCAGCAAATACAAGAAACGAGAAGTGTTTTTGCATATTTGTATTCTCTTGTTGGTAGCAATACTGTTGTACCAAAATCTTGTTAATTGAATGTTCGATGTATTGAACTAGATGTTACTATGGATGTAAAATGCACGTAGGATGTACTATGCATGATGGTTGTAGTGTGGAGTTATGTACTTTTTGTATCATTGATTTATTTCTCATTTGGTTGTGATATATATGAAGTGCATCATCTAGATTATTCCTCGTTTTTAGATTTCACAATTCACATATTCATACCTGCCAAATAGAATGTGAATTTGCCAAATTAAAAATATAAAGGCTTCCACTTATTAACATGCTCAGACCTTGGTTCCACCCCTTCATATGATTCCTAGTGCTGAATGTTAGTAAATGAATATCTGCTAAATGTGTTTAGCTTGTGATTTTTAGGTCCGTGATCATCCCATGAGCTAAACATGTACACTGTGATGCTTAAAAAGAAAATGCATAACATCTTAGTCACACTGCAGTATATGGACATTACATGGGGAAGAAGTGAGGAACTACATTTGGGGTCAACTCATATGAACCAGATTTCATAAATACCACCAAGTCTCAAATAACCTTAAAATTACACCAAATCTCAAATACCACCAAGTCAACATACATTAAAATTATTGTCTCAAATGATACGAACTAACAATTTTAAACATCAAACATTATTAGATATGACATGAAATACATAACAAGAAATCATCAAAACATCATTTACTTCTGCCCTTCTAAATCCGCTCATTCTTGGTCTATTGTTCGATCTGGAACAATAGCCTCAACATTTTTTTTCTGCAAAAAGATTGTAAAATATTAAAATTCATACATAACTTGAGACATAACTTCATACATTTGCATACCTTGCAAGTGGTTGCGTTGTGTCCAATTTCTCGACAAATACTACACCGACGTTGGCCACTTGTTGCTACTTCAAGGCTTGATTTCCAACATTTGTTCTCCTTCTTTCTCCCCTTGGTCTTGGAAATGTTAGGGTTAAGAATAACTTGAACGCTTGATTGTGTAGTCTGACTTTCAAGCACTGTAGGACTAGAACCTACACCCGAAACAATCGGAATATCACTGGTACGCTGCTCTTGTTCACTTGCATGTATAAAGCTAAAAATTCTGCTCAGATTTTCTTGGTATAAAGACTTTGCGAATTGATATGTGCCATCATCCTTCAAAAAAATGTAATCCAAGAAAAAGGGTTTTCACAGAACAAAAATAGATACAAATTCAACCAAATAAAATTGAAATAAATTCAAACCAAGAACAAATTGAATATTGGATGGTTCCCCCACTAATTCTTGATAAATTAAGCTTTGTGAAGCTCGTAAGATCAAAATCAAAGCATGCCAAACCTTGAATTGAACTAGAATCAGAGAGGGCATGAAGCTCGTAACTAGGGTTAATGAAAATTGGGCCATCTCGAAGTAAAGTCAAACCGGAGGAGAGGGTGTGGGGGAACTTACCTCGTCGGGAGAGATGCCACGACAAAGCCATCGCCGGTCGCCGAGGAGATTGCAGAGAACGTCGTGTGGATTCGGCGGAGGAGAACAGAGACAGAGACGATGGGCGAGAAGCAGTGACGGAATAAAAGAAGGGGGCTCCGTTAATTTTAGGTGAGTTAAAGCTAAAAAAGTGATACTAAATCTGATCCCTTCATTTAAAAAGTTATTAGAATCAAGGGCTGAGATTGAAAAGGTCATCCCATGACATTTAAAGGACATGTCAGGTGAACCCAGCCGAATATATATATATATATATATATATATATATATATATATATATATATATATATATATATATATATATATATATATATTATGTTGAATATTTTATTTTGGTTTGTCATTTTAATTATGAAAATAATTATTTTGACATAAACTATTTAAAGTATATTTGTATACTTGTTTAAAAATGATATTGGTATTTTTATTTGATTTAAAATTAATTTTATATTAATTTTTGGTATCAAATAAAATACCCTTTGAACATTTAAGTGGAGAAGAATTTCAAGAATCCTTCTCACTTTTTCAAATCAATTGTTCGGCCATGATATCTTTTAAAGGAACAAAAATTTCCTTGATTGATAATTGAGTGGAGCTAACTATTTTGTCATTTTGTTGATGACAAAGTCAAATTCATAATCACTTTGGAATTTTTTTTCTTCTTTGTATTGATTGCACGGCACTTTAAAAAAAATTGATATATGAGAAGATTATCATCTTTGCATATGCAAGTGTGGTTTTCGGCCATAATTTTCTAGTGAGAGAAAATTTCTTTTGTGTTCCATTAATATCATTTTGTGTATAAAAAATATCTATAATATTTTCTAAATATTATTAGAAATATTTTCTATAAGAAATATACAAGATTATTATTATCCCAAATTTTAATCTTTATATTTTATACTACTATAATCTTTACTAGCATAAAGATTGTGGTAGACTCCGGCGTTGTTCGTGTGTCAAAGTTGGAGACCGGACGCTTGAACGGTTACGTTTGCACTTTCAACGCTCTTTCTACGACTTCTTCGTTTTTATCGCTTACGGAGAAAGGTATAAATTTCTTACTCACTATAAGTTTTAGTACGTGATTCTGGGCAAGATAATCATGTTAGGATGTTAAAAATTTTATATTCCGCTGTCTATCCTTGCATGGTTACCTTTCAGTGGTATCAGAGCCAACGTACAAAACTATAGTTTTACGTTTGACTTTTAAAATTTTAAAAGTTAAAGTTTAACTTGGTAATTATTTAAAATTCAAAAATTGGTAAAATGATTTTATTTAGTCTTGGAATAAGTATTGGACTTAAATAAATCATTGAAAATGAATTTTAAATTTATTTGTTTTATTTCTACACGTAATATATATATAAATATATATATTTTGATTTTTCGAAATATATATGTATATATATTGTAGAAATAGTAAATATAATTTTATTTGGACATAAAACATCATTTTATGATTGATAAAATTATATTGTAATTTTTGAATGCATTATTTCCTATTTTGAATTTATTGTATTTATTTAGGTGAAAACCGAAAATAAATATGGAAAATTCAAAATGAACTTTATTAAACTTGGAAATATTATTTCTAAGTTGAATAAGGTTGTTGATAAATATATTGTTCAAAATAATATTAGTTAGTAATTAAATAAATATATATTTATATATGTACTCGGTTTTATTACCGAAATATTATATATATTTATATATTTGTATTTTAATTACATAAATGACTAATATATATTTTGGAAAGTTATATCTCAGTAAGAAAAAGAATGTTTTTCAAAATATTAAATTACAAAAATTTAATATTTTCGAAATCAATTTAAATGGCTTTTTATAACTTATTGAGATTTAACTAATATATTTTGGAAATAATGATTTATAAATTTTGGAAATTTTATTTCCAGGTTTATAAATGTTGAAAATAATTACTGGAAGTTGAAATTTAATTTTCATGATTTTTGCAAAATTGTTTCAAAATTTTAATGGCCTTTTTGAATATAATTTTGCAAAAAGGGCATTTTGGTCATTTGGAATATTCTGGATATTTTTTTATGCTGGCATAATATCTAGAGTATATAAAATGATTTTATAAAATTTTATTAGATTTATTTGGACATCTCATTTAATTTTATGAGTTTTAGAAAATATTTACTGCCGTAGTATTTTTCTCGAACTGTCTGGGGTGAGCGCGGTTCACCCGGTGTATGTATATCTCTATTGCTTGTGTGGATGTATGATATGCATGGTAGATGATTGTGGCTATAGTTTATTTGATTATAATACGGCCTGCGTGTCGTGCCTTATCTCTTAAACTCTTGTTGTAAATCTATTTCTCTCTCTTACCTCAACCGAGGATTCTTTTCTCACGTGGTGGTTTGAAGATGAAAGGATTTGAAGACCGTTTGGAGAAATCTAAAAGAATGGAGATAGCCCGAAGTCCAAGTGCCCGAAAGCCAGTGGGAGCTATCGTTTTATTTTTCTTTTAGGGGTCACAATCATTACACGTTTATTTACTGCGTTTTGTGAATGCATGTTGAATGTATGTTGAACACTAGTAATGGACATGTGCGCGGCCATGTCGATAAGTGAGATCAAAATTATAAATCCCTCACGAATATTAAGTCTATTGCCTTCTGACGCCCGGCACCTATCCGGCTAATGTGCACTGTCATGTACTCAGCCTCAGCAGAGCATAGTACGGTGTATGTTAAGCTGGTTACGGGAACCGCCATAGCGTGGTCGCTGTCGCACGTTGGGTTAGACTTAATTGAGTCTCGGTCAAATGGATGGACGACTCAGAGGCAGTAAGTTGGGGTCATCAATGACAAGTCGGATGATTCTACTCACTCATCCAGCCAGGAGTTGGATCTTTATGATTTAATTGGAACTCTGTTCCTAACCAAAGTAGTCTGCTTGTAAGACGTGCCTCAGCCAATTACAAGCATGGTGAAAAGGTGTCCTGGTCCGGTTGTAGTAATATTGTTCGCCCAACACCAGATCAAGAGCTGAGAGCCCGGCTCATCAGTTGGAACTATGTTCCTACCTAAATAGTTGTCTTGTGGAGTAACGCCCAAGCGGAACGCAAGATAATGAAATATGGATCTTGGCCCACTAGAGGTTTCGCCGGAAATCTCCGAATCAATATCGAGGGTTATTGATTTGTTAAAAATAGTGGGAGATAATTAATTAAAGGCCTAATTAATTATTAAACATGATAGATAACCTAGTTTGCAAAATTTTCTGTAGATGGCAAACAACAACAACCCTTTCAACCTGCGTTACATCCTGGAAAACAACAAGTTATC